TTGCTTATTACAACTTACCAAGAGGTAAATGATCTTTACTGATCAAATACATGTTGCGATGACGAAATTGTGCGGACTGGTGGTAACACTAGTCTGCCAGAGCAACACTTTTTGTTAAATTCAAAGTAATCTTTATCCATCGAAAATGTGAGAAAATCTTCGTTTTGAATTCGGATGAAGTCAAATAAAAAATGGCGCCACATTTCATTGAATTTATCAGTTATTATTCGAATTTATGTACTAAAATCTATGAACAATGTTCAAAAAATCGTTTATTGATGAAGAAATTGTAATGAAATCTAATTTGATAAATGATTATTTTGCTAGATCTCAATTAACTCGACAAAGAATGAAAATAAATAGAAAAATTTATTTCGTTTAATAATTTGACATTGATCTTATATATCTAGCGAGGGGATCAACCACTAATTCATCATACAGCTGCATATTCTATGAATATTTAATAGCTTGTTCAATCTTTTGATTTTGAATGAAGTATTTCTGATGTTATACTCGAAATAAATGAATTCGAAGATACTAATCTTGTGAGTTATCTTTAAATTCTATATTTCATATTTGTCGATTCTGTTAGGACTTTACCCATATATAATTACATCAAGGTTGAGATGAGACTAAAGATCATTGTCACTCGCACTCACACCTGAATCGCATACATTTTCGAATTATAAATTATATTTTTTTTTTTTGAATAAGTATTTGAAGATCAGAATTGATGAGTTTTGATTAAACTTCCATTAAAAATTTCTTTTATTCAATAAATCTTAGTTAATAATGAAATTCATGTATCATTTGATTATTATAAATTACTATTAGTTTAAGTTTTGATCTTAATAATTGAATAATAAAAATGAACAATGTAAGAATCTCGATTCTTTTTTAGTTCAAAGAGAAATTGAAATAAAAAAATCTCAGTATTATCACGGGTCTTGATGTATGAGTCATGTTTACTCAAGTCGGATGATCCAATAATGATCTTTCTTTTAAGTTTTTCTTCTATTTTCGGTAATATTGGAGTTTACTTTCTCTTCGCCAACAGTAATAACACAAGATTAGTATAAAATATATGTGACAAATTAACCTGATATTATCAGAATAAGCATAGTATAGCCTAAACTTCTCAATATAGTTACCAGAAGCTATTGTTATACATATGTAATCACATAATGACACTAACGAATTTTCTATAACTGCTATTTTATTACTGATTTCTATTTTACCAATTATGTTACTATTGAACTTCTGTAAATCATTGATCTGCGCGTTTTTTTTTGTTATTATTATTTATGTCTAGGATACATTTTCTTGTTGATAATTCTAAAGTATAGTTTTTATTACAAAAAAAATTGTTTTTTCTATTTATACTTTTATTAGCATGAGCTTCTTGAAGATCTAAATTCAAGTACAAAAATCTCAAAAGATTCCGTTTCTTATTCTCGTCAAGGTTGGCAATATCTTATTCAACGTATTCTTAACGATGATTTTTCCAATGAACTTCAAATCTTACAATTAAAACTTGATTCTAATATCTTTCAACAATACCAACACTCATTAATAGATGAATATAGAATTCAAGAAAATAATCGTATTAACAAAATTCAATGTCTTTCTTTTCTTTTGGTACCAAATCGAAAAGCGATTCGATCAATATTCATTCGGGTTGCATCTGTTTTACATTATTCAATTATAAACATGCATGTAACTCATATTATAATAATTCCTTTGGTAGTTGTTCAATTAGATACAGTCATTAAATTGTCTACAATAGAAGATCAAACTATATAAGTCTTACAAAAATATATTACAAGTAATAATTGTGGATGTTGTTAAGAAAAACAAACAAAGATTAACACAGACATTCCTTAGTAATAAATAGAGAACGAAAAAGAAATGGTTAATTGTATGTACAATTGTCAGTCACTAAAATAATCCGCGAAAAAATATTTTGCTACGTATATTGATGGAGAAAAAAAAGAATCTCCAAGAAATTTTTTTTTCTGCTCTCATATTTAACGCGATGCGAAGCAAAGCATTTATATAGTTCTTCGCGATTGTCTTCCTTTCTCGACGCCCACATTGAAAGTTGTCATTTTGTGTCGCGATTATATCAGGAATGGGAACATCAGAAAATACTCGCTTGAACGTGAGATTAATATATCAAGATTGAACTGATATCACACGTTTTCCGATCTTGAACAGCGTGCTTTGTTCGTTTACAGGAAGCGTCGCATTTTTCAAACTCCGAGATACTTAAAACGAAAAGCAAAAGTAAAAATTAGGCGCTACCTTTTTTTACAAATGTTTTACAGCTGATGACAGATAATAAATCATCAGTGTTCTTTCAACATATAATAATTTGTATTCTGGATTTCGATAATATAAATTTGGCTTTATTCTACTGTAATCGTGAATGTTGAGAATTTTGTGAAAATTTCAAAGTCGTTATTCTGTCATTTTGTGGTTGACATCATTTTGTTATCGGGTTTTTTCCTTTCAACAAGTAATTGCACCATCATGTAACATATATGATGCATGACGAATATATACTCATTCAAGTAGGAAGAAAAAATACAAACACGTCATATCAACAACATACAACGTTACACAACACATATTTCATTAGAAGTGTACAATGGCAAATCAAACTGTCGCGAACTTCTATACATTACCGGTAGAAATTGTCTACCGAATTCTGGATCATCAGTCAGACATCACAATGGTATGCTCAATGGCTAATGTATGTCAACGGTTCAACATGATCTTAAACAGCTATCACCGATATCAGGTAAACTTTTTTCTATCAGGCCAGACTGATTTTTCTCTATTGACTCGCAAATTATTTTTCATTCCTATAGTCTCTATACAGATAGAATCACTACGATAAAATGTACATGAGTAAACCATTTGTTACTTAAATTAATTTATCAGTTATTAATCTCTTTCGAAAACTCATTTTCTGTATTATGACAACTCGAAAATAATTTCCACATAATGAGAAAAAATGGTTTCTTTTTTATCGTTCCAGCCTCATCTAAACACTTTTTTATTACTATTTCAATGATGAAAATAACATTTTGAATGAAATTATGAATCTATATACTAGCTAGTTTATCTTGTTATAAATATCTCCGAAAAATGCTCCCGTGAGAACATGAGTGACTCTGAATATACGTAACGGCGAGTGTGGATCGAGAGCAGATCGACTCACAACAACATTCGCAATCTCATTACTTACAATTATACTAGTAAGGTGGAACATTTCTTCAAGAAACGCTACTTTCAAAGCAAATTTTTTTCCAAAAACGTTGCCCCGAACGCATTTCATCTAATGGAATTCTTTTTAACCACGACATTTCAAGAATAATTCATTGCCAAAATAAAACATCGAGCATACTTCGTATGAGATATTTATGATTCGATGTTTTAGCTGGTATTCACCTTTCATTCATTATGAATCTTATATTAGCTAATAAGTACTTTAACTCCTCAGTGTTTATCAATCAATAATATTTTATACACATAACCGTGTGGTATCATCAAAATCATTTACCGAAATCAACGAATATTCTTACTAAAACTAGAAATACCCATTAGTTTAACCAAATTAGATAACTGCAATAAGGTTCTCATGCAAAACATATTTCCAGTCTCGTCGATGAATATGAGCGAAACTCATCTACAGACTGCCGATATAGAACTATATTTTTCCAACAGCTCCACAATGCGAACAGGCGACGCTAGAGTGCATATTATTTTCCGTAGCAGGCATTGACACACTAACAGTTATCATGCAGAACTTTTTCATTCTTTCACAAAAAATCAAAAAAATTAAATCAACTAATGGATTAAAAACATCTATGCATACGTAATCCATTCTGACTTCTTTTTAACTCAGTTTTTTCGTAGCATTCTTGACCAAATCACAGAATCTAAATTCAAAGAAGTATTGAGACTCATATCCATGTGCTCTTCAACGGAGTCATATCAATATTTATTTCATTGATCTAAATCCACATAACAAAGACCAAATAATGTGCTTCTTCAACTATACCGTGCTTTTACTTACACTTTTTTATCTAGACACTCACCTCGCTAAATCTCTCGTGCGCCGCAATCGGATATGTTGGAGCACAACGTTTGGCTTATGGATTACAGCACAACGCAGTAACTCTCTTTCTCTCTATACCTATTCCATGCATTTACCTATATTAATTCACCTAGACACTCACCACACTAGATCTCTCGCACAGTGGAATCGGAGATCTTGGAACACAACATTTGGCTGATGGGCTGCGACGTAACACAGTAATTATCATTCTCTCTTTATCTATACCATATCTTTACTGACACTTTTTCATCTAGACCCTCCTCACATTAAAACTCTGCGGTAACGGAATCGAACATGTTGGAACAAAATATTTGGCTGATGGATTACAACACAACGCAGTAATTATCTTTCTCGCTTTATCTATATCATGTGTATGCTAACACGTTTTCATGTAGACACTTACCACACTAGATCTCTGCAGCAATAGAGTCAGAGATGTTGGAGCACAACATTTGGCAGAAGCACTGCGACGCAACACAGTAATTG